GTTTTTGAAAGAATACATAAAAAAAAAAAAGAATTGAAGTATCAAAAATTAAATGATCCTATGTATGTACATTACAATTTGTGTCTAAAAAATTAATACTTTATCTTATATTTATTTAAATTATATTTAAGATTTATTTTATGATAAATTTAGTTTAAAATTGAGTTCTCTTTTATTATCATGTTTGGTGAATTTATCTTATATTATTTTTTTAATATTTATTAATTTAAATCTCAAAAATTATACGTATTTAATTAAATTTATTATTTTATGTTAGTTAAATGATGATTCCCTGCTTGGCTTATTTTTTTCGTAGGTGTTTTTGTTGGCATCCTGGCAACAAAAAAGGAAAATGAAAGTATGGCATCTCTGCAACAAAAAAAAGAAAAATGAAAGTATGGGGCCTGAGTAAGCAGGGAGGCAAAGTGGGCAAAGTGGTCCCATTCTTGCATATGGCAGCACATGTGGAAAAAAAAAAAAAAAAGAATAAATGGGTTTAACTGCTGACCGTTTAAGACTTAACGGTCAGCAGTGATGGCAACATTAACGGTGTTAGGGGAGGGACGACAACGAACAAAAAAGACGAAGTAGAGGGACGACGTTTTGGCTCCTTGGTAGAGTAGAGGGATGACAACGAATATGTCCTTAGTAGAGGGACAAGAACGAATAAAATATTAAAGTAGAGGGACGAAAATTGGCTTTAAACCAAAATATCATAATTCCAATGGGGCAATATATCAAATAGGTGGTGTGCAAAGCGAATCTACGGAGAAATAACCCTCGCCATCCACATCGACCTCCATTACGCCAGCGTCGAGTTCTCCTTTCTCCGACTTCGTGGTCTTCGCTTCCTCCTCAAATCTCTTTGATCCATTGCCCAGTCCGATTCCACTATCCTCCTCTTTGGCCACACACAATCCATCCCTGAGCTTCGAGGTTCTTTGACTCCCACTCCACCAATTCCATTTTATTTTTCTTTTTTAATTGATATGATGAAATACCAAAATTAAGAATTGAAATTCATAAGGTAAATAGGGAAATTTGAAATACATGCAATTTTCATTTTGAAATACACAATTCTAAATGCATGTATTTGAAACAAATTCAAATGCACTCTTATTTAATATAAACAAATAATGGATTTAAATTTGAAGTCCCAAATTCAAATGCACTTTAATCATATTCACATTCCCAAACATAGCATAACGGAAATTGTGGAGAGAATCATGGCAGCAATGAAGACTCCAGTGACCTACTTGAACGTCACAAAGCTCATACATGGAATCATGCATGTTCTATGCATCAATGGTCTTAGCCAGCACAAGAAGCTTCTTAATAGCATTAATTTCTCATCTTTTCCACAATCTAAAAGTCCCATTAATTTCTCATCTGATGTGAACATCAACACCTTGATAATAAATAAACCATAATTGGAGGCTGAAAGGTAGTCACAAAGATTGATGAATTAACAGGATAAAGAATTTACCATATGTGAAATTCGTTGCAGCAGAGATAGAATATGCTGTGTACTCCCTTACATTTGGGAACTATAAGCCATAAATTATTCTAGACTTTATCATTTACTTCATTTCCACATCTAGTTTACTCCTTGTCCTCATCAGCAAGAAGCGACTGAAGATGCAGAAGCCGTTTGGTATAATATTTACATAGCTATTATCTGAAACTTAAAGAAGCTCCCACTCAGACTCCAATAGATCGTTATTTGGTGATATACCAGTGTCGTTTATTGAAAGAGTTGGCATCAAACTCCCCTTATCAGACTCTGCATCGTTCCCATGCAACATAGCAAGTTGTTCATATTCCTTTTTCCTTGATGACCTCATTCTTGAGGAAATAGCATCCCGAATCTTTTTCTGGAGAAAAAGAAAAAGGAGAATTTGTTAACTTTGTGCAAATTATATCTACACCAACTCAAAGAGAGGGAGAGGATGAAAAAGATTACCTTGTACGGCCTGCGCTTGCCTTCCTCGGAAACAAAATGAAGTTCATTTCCACTTACCATTATGCAACTTTCCTCAACATCAATTTTATTCAATTGTTGAATGTCTTCAATTCCCTGTTGGGGGACGGTAGTGCTCTCCCTTGTATTGATGGTCCAGTCTTTCAATTCCCCTGCAAAGTCATGACATCAATTACCGTACACAAAATGAGCAACGAATTTACAAATTAGTATGAAACATTATGATAACATGGCAAATAAAGGAATGCTGCAGCTTAGTAACATTTTCATCTTATTTCATTGTTCATCTGATTTGAAATGATGCTACAGAAACAGAGATTGGCTAGACAATGAAATCATTTTCTTTATATCCATAAAGAAAAAAATTGGACATCCAAAATTCAACCTAACACGTTTGTCCATATAATATGGAGCACCTGGATGGGAAGTCAAAACAACTTCATCACAAGGTTTGTTGCAATTTATGTCACCATCAATTGAGGACTCTGGTAGAGAAACCATCCTGGCATTTGAAAGACCATCTGCACCTACCAAATCAAAATCAACAGTGGAAACAGATAAAAATGATAAAAATAGCAAATGAAACAGAGATGGGAAATACTTACCATTTGGTTCTGCAGATACACCACAATAGGACGAAGACCTCGTGTCCAATTCTCTTTTTCCAATTAACTCAACCAAAGGTGAGTCATAATTTGAAGTACCTGGTATGGACTCACTGGCATTTTCAATCTCATGGTGACTTCCTTCTATAAAGGTGGACCCATCAGCTTCAGCAGAAACTGCAGTTGAAGTTGCAGGCATCTGGTGATGCGATGCACCATGATTTGTTTTTGTGTTCTCATGAAATGATGACCTGCATAATTCTTTCTTCAAATAAGTGGTTTCTGGAGAAATGGCAGACATAGGCAAACATTCTTGATTTGATTTGTTATGCACACTTCGATTTCTGCGCTTAACTGAAGACAAGTAATATCCTTTGACAAATCTAGCCGGTGATGAATCATATGAATTATCAACACTGTGAAGCCCATGAAAAGATGACTCATGACTGGTATCCTCCGTCACATCAGCAGTTATGTCTGAATACTCTGTCTGTTGCTTACAATCAACTTTAAAATTGTCTTCCTTCAAACCTATACGTGCCTTTTTATATTTCCCAGCATGTTTCTCCATAGGCAAGTCAGAAGCTGAGACTGCTTTCACAGGATCCATTGAACACGGGGGAAGAAAATCATACATCACATCTTGCATGACCTCAGAGTAGAACTTTTTGACACTAGCACCAACAGTCTGCACCTGATTCTCAACATATTGAACTGTATCCTGTTCCAGAAAACAATATTGAAATTGATATTAATGCATGTTAATGGAAGATTGGCTGCAGCTTTTGTGAAAGTTAATTATTATGAATAGAGTAAGTAAACACACACACACAAAAACAAAAAACTGTCTGAACTGATAGGAGCCCAAACCATGGGTATCAAATGAGTCTACAAAACATAACCACCAAGACTCCAGAGAGAGGAATAGATCAAGGGAAGAACAGCAAAATATTTCACAAGGATACTGTTCTGTTAGGTAGTATTAGATTAGATAGGAAGGAGATTGGGGATGGCATGGGCACTCAAGAATTGCCTATGGTGTCACCTTTAAAACTCAAAAGATTAGGGAAGGCTTGCAATCAGATGACCCAAAAGGGCTTTACCTGGTACATAACTTCTTCCACCTCCAAGCACATAGCCTCAAACTTCTGGTACACATTGCCCACCCAAGTTATACCCTTTAGATCCATCGTGATCAGAATCAACTTCCCTGGAATAGGAGCTGAATTTCTTCTGCTCTTGTGTGTTTGAAATTTGTTCAGTTCCTAGCTACTTATCTGCAGGAAATTATATTTTAATTAAGTAATTAAGTGATTGAAAGAGAATATAAAAGGCACCATGCAGTCCCATAGAGATGCAACATCCAGCTACAGAAAAATGTAGCACAAGAATAGCAAGATAGGACATAGAAAGTACACCTCTAAGCTAATTAAGATGAATGTTTTAAAACAAGCACAATAACTCACAATCATATTCATAAGGTGCAAAGCCAAACAAAAAAGGACCCACATGACAAAGTGAACAACTAAATTAGCTACTTCCAACTCAGTGAACAATGAATTAGTCTGTTGGCAAAGAAAAAAAGGAAGCACCATTACAAACTTAAGCATCCAATGCTCTACCTAAAGTATCTGACATGAAAAGCCAGTCTCTTCACTCTATAATTTAGAGAAAGAAAAGGAATTCTGATCATAATGCAATAATAATTATCAAATCAATGAGAAAAATCTTTGTTGTCGTAGATATTGCAAGTCCAAATCATAGATCATTAATAAAATTCTATGAGATTTTCCATCCTCACTATTATTCAGAAAATTGGCATAATGAAACAAGTAATATAATTCAGCAGCCAACAGAACAGGGTTGATTTAAAAATGCAGCACGTGTGTCAGAGGAAAGTTTTCTATCTCCTCCCACCATTTTTTTTTTTTTAAATTTTTGATTAGCCTATCCCCTCCCACCATAATCTATATTTTCTGAAGTATTACTGAGGAGTCACAATATTAATGCAAATCAAGAAATTAACATAACAAGGACCATAAGACACTTCTCCTGTAGACATTTTAATGAAGCCATGCATGCAATGATCACACCCCTCATTCCTACAATTACATTTATTCCAAAGTGATCTACTCTGATTCAATGACATTAAAATTCAATGAATTTATGTTTGATAAATATTCCAACCAAAATAAAATATGATTCATAATAATTTTACTGGATTGATGAATTTACAACAAAGTTTCAAGTTCTCCACACAACTACTTCTTGGAGTAAAAAAGGTATCCATTGAGAGTTTTGAGAAGATATCTTGACATGAGAAGCAAACTCAAGCTAATGGAACAAGACTTAATAAAGACTGTTGTCTAAAGCATCTTTTCCCCCCAGAATGCACAATATTTAACCTCTCACAAGGTCACAGTCACTTAAAACCTCCTGCTCCTCCTCACTCTCAGGTATTGCCTTAGCATAAATTAGAATTTAGAACCATGTAAAATCCATTTTCAAGATCAGCAAAACAGCAACAAGCACAGAACTTTAACTAATAATTTAATACTCCCTCCACTCAACTTTAATAGACCTAATTTCTAATTAAGGCATTTTAGTTGTCCACTTTTCCCTTTTTAGGATGTCATTTAAGGCACTTATTCCTATTTTACCCTTATTTTAAAAAGATAATTACAAGATATATTAATAAGATGGCTTATTTAAGTAGTGATTAATTAGGTATAAATATGAAATTTTATCAATTAATTATTAAATTCCTATTTTGTTGGACCAAAAATACTAGGCCTACCAAAGTTGAAGCAAGGGGGTATTTGTTTAACCATGAATCCAGGATTTTCAGTCAACTAAACTTCTGCCATGTATCAAATATCTAATCGCTTGATACCAAGTAAGTAGAGGCAACTATTATTGACAAGTTCAACATTGCTATAAAAGGCCATCTCTAAGAAGATGAAGTCCCCTTCATGATGCCACGAAAAACAGGGTTTGGGAGAAAGAACCAGAACTGGGCATAGAATAGAACTAAAATACCAGCAGAGATGCACAAAATTATGTATCACAGAAAAGCACAAATTTTTGCAAATGCACTCGATGAGACACTTGTATCAGATACAGAATACAAAAATAGACTGAAAGATGAATAAATATAAAAAAATTAGCATAGCATTCATTTGCCAGGATCCTAG